CATTAGTTCTAAAGCCTTCCGCAGCAAATCCCTTACCGTGAGATTCGCCAGTCCTATCGGGATTAGGGGGGGGGGTGGGGGAATGGGTGGGGGAATGCAAAAAGAATGCTGTGGTAAGTCGGGGCGATTGAGCTTAATTGGATAGGGTGTCATTGCCGAAGGGCTCACAGAAGGCATTGTGAGAGGAGGAGGCGGAATAGAGTATGGATAGGGGCATAAATAAGTGGTCTGTGATTCAGCAAAGCCATGTACAGGCCTGCCAGGAGAACAGCCTTGGCTCATCGCAGGAACAATGGGGAATTTTGGCTTGCCACTCTGTGCAGCTGCATTATAATTCACGACTGTCATTGGGACACGGGGAGTCACCTCTCCAGCACGAAGGCCCCTGTTTGATCTAAGACGCTTAGGACGCGAACCATGACCACTGCTGCTATGTGTAGTCATAATGTCAATGGGCCGTAACGTACCTTCACTGGAGCTATCGACAGTCCCATTTGATGTTTTTGGACTTGTATCTGTTTCATTAGTGGTGTGGGGATTTATCCCAATCCCTACTGGTTTGTCAGAACGTGGTGCATCGAGTGAAGCTACACTATTTCCTATGTCCACAAGACTAATGTGGTGTGGAGGCGTGAGCATCTCAATTTCCGCTACGTTGTCGCCAGTCTTAGCATCGTTCGTGTGGAGAGTGGCCTTGCTAACATTATCTGCCTTTTTAGAAGGGGAGAACCAAACATTGTTGAATGACCTCCTTTTTTGCAATCCAGGAAGCGCGCAGGGATGATGACTCTGCTTCGGCTCAGGCGAGACATTAGTTGCACTCATGCGTTGAAGCTCACGTTGCAAATGTGACCTGTCTACGAATAGAATAACTTTGCAAAATTTCGGGACAGATCTTAAAGTATTTTGACTTTTGATAAACGAATTTGCGAGACTTTCATTACGGAAGCTAAACAGAGTCGGACAAGGAAAACGCAAAGATTTTTTCCTCAGTCTTCTACAACTAATATCGGTTTCAGCGATGTTGCACGCTCTCGAAACAGAGCGTCTAATGGTGTCAATTGCGATATTGTCAGCTATGTTGAGGGCGATGACGTTTTTTCCCCTTCTGCATCTTTCATTAACCTCAGAGGCGATTGCATTTAGGAAGTTTATGGCTCCAGTTTTGTGCTTTTGCTCTGGATTAGCCGGAGACTGAATTATGTATGAAACTGACATTAGGAGATCTCCGAATGAGTCAAACAACTTTAGTTTCTCATTTTGTTCCTCTAACTGTTTTTCCAACGTCTTTATTTTGGCTGACAGTGAAGATATAAGGTCGACAACACTAACTGAACTTTCTGTGATTTGTTCTTTGGACTTATTTACCTGCTCTTGTATCCCAGCCTCGGAATGTGTGCAACAGGGCACAGGTTCCTCGACACTCGTGACGGCAGCATTATTTACCGTGATTATTCGGTTTTCCACACGCTTTTTCCTCATTGCACGAGTGTTAATGGCAGTCATCAATCTTGTAAATGAGAAGATCAAAGCTATCTATAGTATATGCTATAACCAAGCGTGAATTCTGGAGTAACAAAGGTCGCTAAGGTCCAGTGATTTGCCTATTCAAGTCAACAGACAGGCCACTGTTTCAGATACAACCAATGATACAAACCAACCGGATGTAAGAGTGCTCAGTTGTCCAAATTCCGCCAAGGGTAGATTGTCCTGCAGTGATCGACCGCTCCGTGCACAGGTATCGTGGCATTAACTTGATGAGCTGCATCAGGAAAGTAATTGCTCGGGTTCTGCTTAACCGCTTGCTAACTCTAATCATTGCACCAAACGAGGCTGATGAGAAAGGGGTTTTTGCCTGCTTCACAGCACGATAGATTTGGAATTCGCGCCTCGCAAATTGCAGGAAATATGCTGTGGGCGAAACCAGCCTGTTTATTCCGTTTGTTGGTTTCATTAGGGGATTTGACATGACAAACGGTGAGGCGCTGTTCCTGGTGTTGTGCAGCTTTGGTTTCCCGGCAAGTTTGTTAGTCTTATTCAATGCCTGCAAGATGGTAATTGGGTGACCTAGAGCTGTGTGGACAAACCTTGGATGATTTGCATGTTTTCCCTTGTGTGAAGCAAGGCTCTGTCTAAACCCTCATCATGTTTGATATTTACCTGGCTACCATTACTTCCTGTGATTTTATGTTTGTTACTATGGTGTCCGTCTCGAGTATCTTATTGACACAGGGTTGCTAAACATTCATCGTTTTGTGGCAGGTGTCCTACTGTGTTAGATAATCATCCGGATGTTGTATGCGAAATAGTGGGCGTGGTTTGCATACAGTGAGGATGCGTTGCAAAGAATGACGACAGCTCTGGGTAAGATTCGTCAAGTTCGTATCCCATATCAAGAGAAACAAGACTGTTTATCTAGTTCATGGTTCACCAGGCATCCAATCCGTGGACTGACCGCAAATCAAATTGCTGATGAAGTTTCGGAAAACTCAGCAACATTTTGCCACATTGGGAACACGTTGTCAACAGACTTGCAGACGACCAAAGAGCTGCGCAATCGCGTATGGAATGCATGTGCGGCTTTTGCAATCTAGAAAATCGGAAGTGGAAAAATCATCAATTCGTTTTAGGAAACATTCCGATTGTGTACAAATCAAGGTTGTTGAAGGCGAAGCTCCTTTAAAGCTCTACGAGAGGGACATCCACTCTCTGGAACGATTTCATCAGCAATAACTGTTCAGGTGCTGTGACAGAAATCCTGCCATGGAAATGCTTAGCCGAATAAAAATTTACATACTGGAGTTTATTTCGTTAGTGCGAAAGCTGAGGTGGATCTGGCATGTCCGCCGCACTGATTTGACTAGTATACCGAAAAACCCGCTATCTGGTCAACTTAGGACAGGTAAGCGGGACGTAGGAAAACCGAAGCTACGTTACCTGGAACCGATCAAAGTGAGTTGATCACGAACTATTGAGTTTAGTAGCTTGCAATCAATGATAGTAGATTACTGAGATTGACGTGTCTACATCGAGAAAGCAATGTTGTAATAGGAGGATAAACGTTGGTTGCGTAAGTGTCGGATACCGACGGAGCCTGGTGCTATGGTATTTGCGGTCGCACGTACCTCAACGCAACCGGTCTGATTAGCCGCCAACATAGCCATGATTGGGCAAGAGACAACCAGCAGGTTAAATGGATAAGTGTCTGCTCTTGGTATGAAAGCTACTTCCGATTCCATTTACTAACGCAGGCAAATAAAGTCGTAGATGTGCTACATTATCGCTGCAGTTGATCCGTACCTGTACCTAAGTGTTTATTTTCTTTCTTTTTAGGTGCATTTTAGGTGTTTGCCTTTTGACATCGTCGGTCTGATTGCACTTGTTGCGATCTTTAGCAAGGTGCTTAGCAGCCGAAGATTGCCATCTTCATTATACTGGCTCCAAAAGATTATTGATGGTTGATGGCGGAATAGAGGTCCACAGTCTTCGTGACAGCGCCAGAAGCAAAGGTTGGTTCCATCCACCGCGGAAGGGGGCAAAGCTTGGTCACCGCCTTGAACACCTAGTATGCATGTTATCCCTGCTCAAACAAATGGTGTTACCTTTAAAGGAGTACGGCGTAGCTCCGAATCAGTCGTGGCTCCCATCTAAATATCTCCCAGTCATATTTCTTTGGGTTTACACGGTATATGTGTTTTGTAGATAGAACTTTGGGTAGTACGGTGCAAGCCACCAACGGTTCCTCGGTAGGTCCAGGCATTCTGTAGCTTTTCGCAGTCTCACTGATGGGCAAATTCGGAAACGGATGCCTTATAAACCTACACAATAATTTCCTCCTCCTAGCGTATCATTCCTATGTCCATCTTGACAGAACTCCTTTAGCGGTTCGAATATAGGTTGTAATCGCGAGCTGACAGACCTAGTCATTACATTTGTGCATGAGATCAAGAGAAACTCTGCAGTGTGCTTTACCTAACTGTAGTCCAACCGTCTAAATTGTAGTTGGATGTTACTAATTAATGGTCAGAATGTGAGAAATAGCTGGTACAATATAGACGACAGCCTAGGATTTATGGTAACTTACCGGACACGAACCTGTCCGCTGATCGATAATCCCCTTGCGCAATCCTTTAGGTCTACCAGTCAACTAACCTAGTAGTGTCATGAAAACACTGGCGTTAAGCATTTGACCCCTCTGGATACGTCAGCGGGTGCACAAGACGTAAGTTTTGATGTCTCTTGGTAGACTTAAAATGAAGACACATTGCTTACAGAGCGCAGTACAAATAATGATGTAGATTTTCAGTGTTAAAATTTGTAGATGTGACATTAATGTTTTATGTTAGTTTACCCACACATCGTTCGTTTGTATTTGGGCTTCGTTCGGATCATTGTTCGTACGAATAACTACAACAACTTATTATCCAAAACGGATTTTGATGCATATCTAAATGGGTCAACTCAGTCGACTGTATTTTGACTTTGTTGACGCAGGAGAGAATGCAATTGAACAACGACGTATTAGGGGTGAAAAACCAATGTTTAACACGTCCCGTGGGATAGAAAGTTTTAGGAACATAACATTTCATGAGAAAATAAAAAAATTTTTTGGTGGGCTCACCATGGTGTTGGTATTCAGACATTCATAAAAGAGTGGATCACTTGAAAATGGTATACAAATACTGGGTGGAATGTTGGAACCATATCGCTTGATTGCGTTATGTAGCCACTGACTCACTCAAGAAAATCAGTGACGTATTACGCAGAATAAATAATATTTGAGTAACAAGGACTTCTCATCAGGTTCGTTTACTTTTGTTAGTTTCTGCGTATGAGATCACTACCATGTGAGCAGATAATACAGTACCTGTTCGAAGTTCGTCTCAATTTGTGGGAAATTTGGAAATTCTACAAGAAGGATGCTCAAATACATAAAAAATTTTGGATGTTTGCGATTTCACATTTCAGCTCCTCTTTGTTCTCTGTAGATCTTGCTGCTCTCACAGGTTATACATGAAGTTGCAGAGGCGGTATATGCTTTCAAATGAGAAAACAAGTAGCGAAAGGTAGCCGAAGCCGCTGAAGCGATTAGCCGAAGATCTGACTGAAACAAGAAGTCAAATCCAGATTATTGTTCAAAAAGGAGAAAGCAAACAGTTATCAGAAAACAACCTAGTAACGACATTAAATGATGTTTTACAATTCATTATAAAACCAGTAGCTCGCAGAATGACCTGAATTTGTAGGGACACTCGGTGAGGATGACCCAAACTGATCGGCTAAACTGACTTATGGTAGGAGTACGTTAATCAAAAAATAATCTGCAGTTAAACGTAGGAAATCTTCTCATAATACTAAAACAGCAAGATATTTATGAGGTTGCTGGCCGTGTGTCGTTCGGCTACGCTCAAGCAACATATCCAGTTTCACAGATACCTTGGTTACTTTTGTTGTCTACAGCGTCTTCCAATCAAATCTAGGCAGACAGCATTAATGTATGGCATAGGGGACTTTTCCACGGCCTACGATACATACAGTGCTCAATTATATGTAGCTAGGTCCACTGTGAGCCACGATAACAAAACATTGTTTGATTTATTGTTTGTTCAACACTCGGTAGTGAGCTACGCAACGAAAGTAGTGTTATATTCCATCTTGTTTTGTCATTTGAAGCATTATTCCAGTATTCTCCCTATCACCGAATATAGAGAATGGTAGTGGCTTGGGCTCAACTCGAATGACGGACTCCGCGCCTTACTACGGATAGAGGAGTGTAGCTTTATAATTACGGCTGTGTTTGCAGTACGAAGTGCTCCAGGAGTTGTCAGTGGGATGTAAGCATCCGGCTGTTAGCGTAAATAATATCGAATGAACCCAGGCGATAACCTCATTTTTCCGTAGGGTATTTATGTAAACAAGCATAATGAGAACAAACTTTTATGAAGCCTTGTGCTAGAAGAACGTGAGGATTTTGCTTAAAATCCGTCAGTCTCACCGGACAACCTATGTGAATTTTTCCATATCAGGTCGAGTTGGAAATGCTTCACTCACTGTGGCAAGGATTGCTATTCATAAGCCAGGGTAGAAGACAGAACGCATATTAACTGACTTACTTAGGTTATAGCTGGCCATCAGTTTATTTCCACTGGTTTTGTCAAGAGACCGAACCACAATTGTCATCGCGTTTGACGTTGATGTAATAACTTTTTGCGGTCCCCATTGAAGCGGTCCAAACTTTCTAATCTCCCTCGAACCACATGTGTCCCCGTCGAGTATCCGGACGAAATCAGCGCCATTGTAAGTCTGAAGGGATTGCAGAATGTAAATGACAATTCCCAAATATAGGAGTTTATGCGCACAGTGTCAGGGTTCCCGATTCGGATGAATACCTCTCAGTGAAAGCTCATTATGCATTCACACAGCTGGTGGAGACATTATCTTCCTGGTAAATAATTTCTCCATAGGAGAAAATAAATAAGTAAACAAAAAACTCTTTGTTCAACAACCTTTAGATTTGTAATTTTGAGGGCTACAAGATGGTTTGGTCCACCATGGATCCGCCATATGCACAGAAGGTTGTCACCGTCGCTTGCTTCCCACTCTATGACACCTTCGGGTGAGGTCAGTTCGTGACCACAGTTGACTGAAAGTGTAGACAAAAAAGAAACAAGATAAAACTTGACACTGGAGGCTGAATCCACTTTCAAAGTATAATAACGTCCCGAAAGCATTCGGGAGCTTTCATCGCATAAGATGAATACCGATTCGTTCCATTTAAGTCAAACATGAATTTCGTTATTTCAAAAGCACCGAAACTCACCGTAAAGGGAATGGTTTGTTGCAGGCTCTAAAACGTGTGGGAACGATAGATGGTATATCGTTAATTAGCACCGTCAAGACAAGAAATACAAGCATTGCAAGAAGAGTGATAAAGTGCATGTTGTATCAACACCAGCTACAAGAAAAACGGCAGCGGCTGGCGTTTGTGTTCAGTATACAAGCAGAACTTTGCACTGATTACGAGTTTACCGGTATTTGTTTTAGATGCCTGCGCTAATGAAACGAAGTTATTTAGTGCCAGATGATACAGTTAGATAGAAGTGATGTCGTCTGATGAAGACGCCACATTCCAAATTTGCCAGTCCATAAAGAGGAATCCAACATTACTGAGAGTAGGTTTGCACATCAAACGGAAGAATCATCTCGAACGAACTGTGAACGTGGTAAATAAACCTAATTCAATGCATTGCAGGCAGGAACAGTTGCTTCACTAGCATAATATGCATAGTACTAATAGTATATTGAAACTCTGGTGAATTAAATTCCATGGTATAATTCCATTCTTCCATCTATTGAGATTTAGAACAAGGCTGTATGGTAACGCTCATGATTGTACGGAAATTGACATCTAAACTCATATAAAAGTAATTCACTTTATTTACTCTAACATGCATTGTGCAAAGTACCCTCCTTAAGTGACATGTGCACAAATAATCTCTACTCCGTCCTCATCTTCCTTGTTTTGGTCTAAGTGATTGTCATCATGCAGGGTTAAGCATTTTGAGTGAATTGGCACAAGTGGCCAAAGCAGACGCACGTGCGCATCCAGTTAAAATGTGGGCTCGAAAGTCAAGTACGTTTGACGTAGTAACACGAAAAGACAAATTATGACTATCCTCACATACAGCCCCAAGGGCGTCAGCCAACATGCCCAGTGGATCGCTCTAAATCCTCTGCCGCATATAATTCCCATAAGTGGGCAAGCATTGGCGGTGCCTGCTTCCACTCTTTTCAGCGTGGCAGCCCGGATTAAGTCAGTGCCAATTATGGCACCTCCGTCCACCATGCAAATGAGGCTGGCATTGTAAGCATCTATGCCTCAATACAAACGCCGGAGAGAACACCTGTGACTCTGATCGTATCACCGAGAAACATTAGGGTGGTGCGGCTTCTAAAACCAACCGAACCGCTTAAAACGTTACCAGTTGATATCATCAAATCGGCAGCCCAAAGAAGAAATCACGGTACTGTTGTGTGCACTAAGTTTCCAGAAGCCCAGTCCAGTAACATAATGGGAAAGTTGATAGACGACCGTAACAACTGGATGATTATTTTGGTGTGGTTGGCATTTCGGTTGAGCCAAGGAAACTAAGACCGGTTGCACGTCGCTCAAATTCAGTGCATTCCGCTGAACCTCGACTTCTCCCCTGTGATACTAGGTTCTGCTGAGACACAGAGGTTGTGCTACTGTCGTCGATTCGGCTCCGTAACACATGCGTGAGGTGCGCACACTTCCTGCCATCCCTTAAAACCAACCTCCGAAAGAGAAAATCAAAAGTGAAGAAGTCCGTAACTGTGATGAACAACGGACGAATATTGTTTGCGTATTTTCTGAGCTTCAAACATCTTCCTTTGAGGAGATGGACACAAACGACCGGGAGCAGTGGAGGTACATTTATCAGAATCTCTCTCTTGACAGTATCGTTGCTAAGCGGTTGACAGGAATTCGTTTCACCCAAGTGTAAGCTTAACGGTCAAGACTGATGTAGGTACTGCTTCAGTCTGAGCTATTGACACCGCTTATCTTAGAAAAGTAGTCCAAATTCCGCAAGAGTTCGCCCATAGAAAGGCTACTAAAGGTAGCAGATGCACTACTGCGGGTGGCTGACGACTCACTAAAGACGGTCAAATTGGTGCATCTTCCAGTCATACAGATCTGTGAAGACAATGATGTAAACGTAACTTCAACCTCCGACGGATTACCACAAAATACGGAAAACCGTCAGAACTCGGAAAATCTCGATCAATCTTAAAAAGCAACCGAACATGAAAGGCGAAGCAGTCCTCAAACACCGGCTGATCGTCGACTCCATACTTGTTGGCACAATCTCCATTCTTGGTTCAACACGCGCTAGCTCACATTTTGTTACCGAGAAGGTATCTTGCTTACATACAAACGCATAAAACCTTATTGGTTAATTAGTCGAACTTCTTCATCGTTAAACTTCAGAAACCTCGAGTTATCATAGTGATCACCGAAACGTAGCTTAACTGAGATTACAGACTTTGAGATCGCTCTACACGGTATGCCACTTCACCGGAACAAGAGAACAAGGAGGAGAGGGTTGATAATTTATTACAAGTCAAACCTTCACTTGAACTCATGCATGATCCCCAAGCGAGTGGCACTGATTTCCTTTGGTGCAAACTGTAGTTGAAGGACGAGGACAGATGCCTTATGTGTGTAGTTTACAGACCGCCTAAAGCTACCACGGAAATGGGTTACATACTAATATCAGTCTTGCGTCTCGTGACATTTCAAAAACAAAGCCATATCATCATTACGGCGGATTTCAGTACAAGGAACAATGAACAATGATTTATCGCGGGATAAAAGCAAGTGCTTGACACGTCCCGTAGGATGGCTGAGGTGAATATGATGCAATTAAAATATGTCTGAGTCATCTATCGAACGTCTGCCGAGATGGATACTTTGATAATTAACATCAGTGTAAAATGAAAAAGAAATATCGCGCGTAAACATTCAGAAAGACACTGGGGCGCAGTGATAATTGAGGTAAAGAGTGAGAAAAGTAATATATGGTCGCTCACTGAGGTCCATTTGATACATAAATCCTGTTGAAAAGCATGCTTGGCGTAATCCACAGTAGGGGAGTTTAGGTAACAAAATGTTGGGAGCTAAGAGCAATATTTAATCGTCTTTTGAAAACATCCAAGGTAGGAGATAATACAACTGAGTCTGTGAGTGCGTTCCAGGGTTGGCAAACCCGAAGGGAAAAGTAATTCCGTCGACACTCTAGATGGCTATATTGTTCCTGCAATTTTAAGCAGTTACCCTATGATCTAGACTCCAACAACGGATAGAGAACAGTTATATGCCTATTTGTATGAACTTATCTCTCGTAAGCTCCTGTGCTATCACGTTACTGCACCTACCAGCTTCAGGACAGCGAATAAGCCATCATTGTTGAATCTAGTGCTCACCGGCGAGGGGTTCATGATTGCTTTGCTAAATGTGGACAGTCCTTTGGGTCGAAACGGTCACGTGCTTTTATGTTTCGCTTATATTCGCTTCGCCGAATAACCCGAAGTGGTTTGCGAAAGGTTGCAATCTATTTTCAAGTATTGTCCGCATTTGTTGAAAACTCTAGTTATGCATTCGTGCCTGATTATACTCCAGAAAGAGCCTGGGAAACTTTGTAAAAACCGTCAGGTCACTGGTCACAAACGCATCATAGCCAAAAGCTTCCCAGCTTCCCATCTTCCCATCTAGCCAAAAGCCTTCCTGAGAAGCCGAACACAAAGTGTATGAGGTTGAGGGCTCGGACACGGCGCATTTACGAAAACCATCCCGGGGCAGAAAATCGGAGTGTACGTAGCTCAGCGTTACTATTCTGGGCCGTTGTTTCATGAGAACAAGATAACACGGTTAGGAGCTAGAAAAACGACTTTGTTGGGGCCACAAGCTTTTTTACAAGCAAGTCAATAGACTTCGTGAGGTTCGGCGCGGAATTCCGGCACTCGCCACGGCTTGTTGGTATATACATACAACCAGCGAGGCAGCCAACGCCTTAGGGGCTCAGTGCGCACCCACTTTCTAAGTGGTACTAGCCTCGAACGCTATTCCTCTGCCGTCACCCCACAACCAGTTTCGTTCAGCGTCACATTTACAGCAGAACCTGATGTAAAATTACTACGCTTGCGTGCTCCCATCTCCTGGAGTGAATAAAATTCACCCCAATGCACTGCATGTAGCCACCATGCGCCTAGCCCAAAAAACTTGACGGATACTTTCAGTACTGTTCAGAGAAGAAGATGGTTCCGTCAAAGTGGAAATAGATTATTATCAACCTTTTGCATAAAGAAGATAGATCTGAGTTTGCTAATTACCATTCTTTACCGCCTCTGTCCTTGCACGCTTAGGTCATGCAAGATATTATCGCAAATTCGTTGATGGGTTACCTAGAGAGCTTTGGCATTATCGCGACGGAGCAGCACGGGTTTCGTCAACATCGAACAAGTACCACGAATCTGCTTAAAGCACGTGACAATTTTACCGACACTGTCCATGATCGGACGGGAACCAATGTTATCCGCTTGGACGTTTCGGAATGGTTGGAACGGTTGGATCATGAAATCCTATTGCACAAACTTCAACGCTACGGCGTTGGAGAGCCAGTAGTAGGATGGACAGTAGCTTTCTGCGCTAGCGGCAGACTGAGATCAGAGATCGGACATCATTATCCGACCCAATCCAAGTAGATCGCGGTGTGCTGCAGGGTTTCCTTCTTTAATTAACAATCTCTAGAGAACCACTATACCAAATTGTTGCTCTTCGCGGACAACGCTAAGGTTTGTGGACGATAAATTGTTTGGACAATCAAGAAGTCCTTAAGAGCGACCTCGATGTGGTCTGGTATTGGTCAGTGAAGACCGCAATCATTAAAGGTGGATAAGTGCTACGTCTTCCTCATCCGCCATGGTCAAGTCTACACCCCCAAGCTTGGGACGCATGATCTGAAGAAAATATAATGAAAATATAATGTGTCAGCTGTAAACCGCAACGGCGCTTCGCTGCCGCGCTACCACCACCAGTCGCGTGTGAGCTGAGTATACCGTGTG